CCTCCAGCCCGCCCCCAGCCGGTGCAGCCTGACTGTGCCAGGTTCTTGGCGGGTCTGGCCACCAGGAGTCTTTGGTAGGAGAGGTGAGACCTGGCCCAGCCCCCAGGAGCTCTAGGCTGTGCTGGTAGGACTGCAGGGGAGGGAGAGAGGGGGGTGGCGATGCCATGGGGTCGTGTAACTCTGGAGCTGTTCTTGCATGCTGCTCGTCCCTGTCCCTTTGGTAAAGGGTGGGAGAGGAGGAAGAGGGTTTTCCTTGGTTTGGGGAGATCGTTAAGCAGAGCAGAGTTTGATGCTCTGAGGTTGAACTGTGGATCCACAAATGAGCGAGAAAACACAATGAGTGGTGCTGAGCTGGGTGGGGGACCCTCAGGGTGGTTTGGGGGAGCTGGGGGTTTTAACCACAAGCTCAGGAACGTTCTGGTTTAGGTACAACTCCAACTCCTCCTGGAGCTCAGGCTCCTGGTTGCCCAGAGTCTGTCTGGCCTGGCTCGTCAGAGCGCTGCTGCTGCAGGGAAATCGGGGGCTGCTGGGGCCAGCGTGTCTGCTGTGTGCTGTCAGGAGCCACCTCTCCGTGCTTGATGGTGACCCACGGGGCAGAGGGAGGAGGGGAAGGAGGGAACAGCCCCATGAGCAGGCAGGGTCCTACTGGAGCCTTCCTGAGACGCTGCACGAATGAATGAATGAGGTTTTTGTTTCTCCCCGTTTTGCACCAGGCAAAGGGCGCTCGCCCTCCCTCCCGGATGGATCAGGGCTCTGCAAACCCAAGGCAGTGGCGTCGCTGTCGTGACAGTGTCCTGGTTAAGCCGTTTGCCTAATGAGACTTAAATGAAGCACAGAAAAGGGGTTCCTGCTGGCTGAAACATCGCCGCTTTCCAGGCTGGAGCAGTTTGCCAGAAGGCGGGGTTTGCCTGTTGCCTCACTGGAGAGCGTGTGGCCAAGTGTGCAAATCTCCAGGGAGGCCCTGATCCCATGGGATTTATCAGCAGCTAAAACATGGTGCTTGGGAAATCTCCCCCAAGCCACAGAGCCCCTGGGGTCTCTGACTCCACGTTAATCCTGTCTACTTCTCCTCCTCCACTGGCTTCAGCCGCCTGGCAGGTTTTTGGCTCCAAAGCTTGGTTTCATGCGGGAACTGTCTGAGCTCAGGGCTGAACCAGGCTGCAAGCGTGGATGAAGCACAACCGTGCTGGAGACATCCTGTTTTAATCTGGGAGAAAGAAGTTGCCCAGGGCAGCTGCTGTGATTTCCAGGAGGCCTCCAGTTTAAATTCCTCTCCTGGCCCTTTACCTGCCCCTCCAGGGAAGGGAAGATGCCAGCATCAGCTCCTCTGGCGTGGGAGGGAACAGGGGCTAGAGCTGATTAAGCCGTAGGCCTGAGCTTAATTCAGGAAGGAAGCCGAGCTGTTCCTGCTACATGGGGCTCAAAGGCAGCTGTTGGTAGGGCTGTGTGTGACCAAATACCCTTTACTTTGCGCTACTTTGGTAGAACTACAGCAAAGGTGCATTTTTAAGGCTCCTGGCTTGGTCTGGACACGACCACTGTGTGTATGTGGGGTTGTCCCTGCGAAAACTCTCGGTGTAAACCCCCTGGCACACACCGCCACGTGGCAGCGTTGGAAGCAGCGAGAGGCGTGAGCAGCTGGCCCCGGGGGCAGCGCTAGGGACATCGAGGCTGCGGGGACGCGTCCCACGCTGCGCTCGGTTGAGTCGGCGCTTCCCACCGAGCGCTCAGGGCGCGGGCTGCGTGGGCTGACTCTCCCTACACTTGTGCGATGGGGACGCTGCCTGCGGGCTCCTGGATGAACCTGCCCCTCGGCTCAAACAGCCGCCAGGAAGAGGGAGGGAAGGATGGAATTTTGGAGCAGGGTGGTTTGGCCTCAGAGCAGCCTGTGCGCGTCGCTGGTCCTGCTGCTCCTCTCCCGGAGCAAAGGCACGGCCGCCCTTCCGGCGGGAGGGGCGCTGGTCAAGCCGTTGGCTGTCCCTGTCCTCTGGAGGAAGTTGTGGTGTAAAGAGGACCTCGCGTGCCGGTCACTCCACGGACGAGGGGGCTCCGGGGTCCCTCCAGAGGGCCACGGTGTGCAGGTCATGGGCCAGCCCCAGCCACCCAGCGAGGGAGCCGCAGGCGTGGAAGGGTGAGGCTGGAGCCCAGCTGGAGGCTCTGCACATCCAAAGGCGTGAGGAACGCTGGAAAGAGCAGGGCAAGAGGCTGAGCGGGGCCAAACAGGGTGTGGTGGAAGCGACGAGGAGACACAACCCTTTAATAACCTTCATCTTATTATTTCATGATATTGGCACATGTGGAAATGTTACAGGCTTGTTTACAATACTGGGAACGTTTGCATTGCTGTGTGGGTTAATAGCAAAGCCCTTTATGTCAAGTACAATACAATCACTTCATATTTTTCTCTTCATATAAAATAAATGCTTAGAGATATCAGCCGTTATTGCTATTAAATTCCTGAGTTATGCTGAGAACGTGTTCTCTTCACCTTCATTAGATGCTCCCCGCTACCAGCAGCGTCTGCTCATCCGTCACAAAGCTCTGCGGCGCGTTATAAAGGGTTCGCCCGTGCAAGCTGACAACTGCACGCAGGGAGATTTTCTATATTGGAAAAAGGAAAGAAAATTCAGGTTATCAGCCTTGTCACCGCCACGTTAGCTTCTCACCGCCTCAGCACAAGCGGTTTCAGTTGTCAGATGAAATGCCAAAATGCAGCTCGGCTCCAGAACTCTAAGCCCAACCCCCAAGCTGTTCTCCTGGACCGACTCCACCGTTTGCCTTGCAGTCCTGTAGCAAACTTCCCCTGCAGCTGTGATGGATCTGGTGAGCGAAGGTGGTTAAAGCCGCTCTGATGCTGGAGTCTGTGTGCTAAGGTGGGGGGGTAGATCCTCCCGAGGGAGGGAGGACTGCTTGGTGCTGTCCGTGCTACGGGCCGGCCAGCCGTGACGACTGATAATACAAAGCAGCCCATCTTGTGTCTATTTAGAGCTTGGAGAAGCAGAGAACTTAAAATTAATGTCATTTTACCTGAAAGTCACGGATATAGGTGAGGAAGAAGCTAAGGAAGGAGAATGCTAACGACCACTCCGAGACGGTGCTGATGATGTGAGCTGTGTAGCCCTGTGTAACAGTGAGAGGGGGGAAAGAAAACAGAATCACTGTGAAAAGCTCCTCTTGAACCTGCAGCGGCACAAAGCTGGCTTGCACATATGACATCCCGTGTCCACAACTATTCCCTTTGGAGAGCAAAACTTTATCTGAAGTCTCTCAGAGTTAAGTGCTGAACTTGGCAGAAGAGTGAGAATAACTGGGAAAAGGCTGCTCCACGCAGCGGGGATGACACCCCCCGCCCCCCGGGAATTTAATCCACCTGTAAAACCTGAGGGTGCAGTCAAGAGCTTGGCATGACTGGCAGCAAAACCTCGTTACAAAAATAAGGTTCAAGGCCGTAAGCAGACTTCTGGGAAGCTCCTTATGCTTTAAATAATGGGAGGGGTGGGGACAGCCCTCAAAACCAGCCTGCGTAACACCGCCTGGAGAGGATGAGGAGGGCCAGGGAGCCAGGCAGAGCTGTTGAGACCTACATGCCCTTGCTGTGTCACACTTGGGATCCCTCGCTGCCCAGCGCTTGTCCCCTCAAGGCAGCTCTGTCACTTGTATCCTTCGGCCTTCTTCTCCTCCCAACTCCGCTGGACACGCACCCAGCAGCAGGCAGGAACTCTGCTTCCCCGCTGCCAGCGGCCGTGGGAGATTCGCTATTTACAGTTACTGCGTGACCGGGAAGCGCTGCCCAGCACAGAGCAGACAGGCTGGTATCTGACATCTCGTTGAGGCAGCCCAATTACTGCCCGTGAGATTAATTTAAAATAACGCTTGGAGCTGCAACTGTTTTGCTCGGAGCAGTACTGCAGCGAGTGGGCGCGCACTGGCCCAACTGGTAAAGCTCCCTTGTGCTCTCCTGTCCCCAGTACCTGCTCCCGACTGCACTAAGTGCCCAGATGCATTCGTCACCGCAAATAACGTAGCTGGGTTTTGTTCTCCGTTTACTTTCTCTGCTCAATCACTTACTTCTTCCTGTGGGTCCCAGTGCAACTTCTGCACTAGATTCGTTCCATACAGGCCACTGTATAAGACAACGGAGGAAATAAACACTGGAGAAATACGTTAAGGAAGACTCAAGACCAAGAATAAGCAACTTGGGAATTTCAGGCTCGGCTCTGCATTGTGTTAAGCTGAGGCTGGAAGTTTTCTGCGCATTTTCCACAAGGTCTCCTCAGCATAATTAACAGTGATGGTGACACGGACCACTGGGCATCATCCCCTTCAACTTGTAGGACATTCCAACTGCCTAGTTACTGTCACATGAAGAGGTTAATTCTAACCTAAATCAATTACCTTTGTTCTCTGTATGCTGCACCTTGTTATATCTCCTCAATCAAACACAGCATCCTTATGAAAGCACTTAAATTATGATCAAACCTGGATACTTACTCACCATTTTGAATTTTTTTTTTTTTTTGCTGGTATTTTCCAGGCTCACTGTGTCCGGACCTCGTTCTCCGATTGCTTTTTTGACTTCTCAACCACCTCGAATTCTTGGTGTGTGGGTTACAGGTTGGAACACTCCCTCACTTGTAGCAGAGAGGACTATTAGCTTTCCTGGCCCCCTCTTCATTCACTCAAGGCTTTATAACTGCGTTGGTACAGCAGCCAAGGAAAAACCCTACATGATGATGACCCCTCATTTGATCAGGGACCTGGATTATTTCTCAAGTGACTGCAATGTCACTTTTTCAACATCTTACAGGGGGAAGGTAAGCTGCGTCAGTGTCCGGCCTTTGTAAACGAGGCTTGGAGCACTAAGTTAAAGCAGCTCTGATTTTCATAGGATTAACTTCCTTCAATCGTTAATGAGATTGAACAGCAAGAGCCTCCCGATGGGAAAGATTAATTTTGGTGGTGAACAAGGCTGAACTTACTGGCATAAACATGGCTTTGAAAGCCCAGACTTCCACAGCTTATTAAAGAATTGATGTGAATGGTCCAGGGAGCTCTGGTTACTGATCTGAATGCAAGATACCCAATTCCCTGCTAATTAAAATGTACAGCGTTAGTAGCTGTTCGTTACCTGCCTGGGTTACTATTGCAATGGAAAGAATTTAATCATCATGATACAAAAATAACCGGTGCCCATCTTCCCCTCATTACAGAGCGGGTAATTAACTGCTTTGCTCTTTCTGTGTTGGCAATTCTGCTCTTCCACTCCAGCAGAGGATCAGGAGCATTTTGAGGTCTCCTTCTGTCCTCCAGTAGCAGTTACAAGCATTTCACCTATGGCCACAGGCTTCTGCCTGTTACCATCTCTCCCTTATTACATTATCAACTGTTAATGTAGAAAATACTCTGATGATTTCCCTTTTCTTCCCCTTCCATAGAGATGTATGTATGTATCGTTATTGCCACAGCTGTCTTTACTTCCCTCTAATTTTGGTTAGACCATGCTGGTTTAAAAACCTCTATAGATGTTGGGCTTGTGGGTTTTTTGACAACTGTAAAAGGCTCTTAACTTGCAGCAGTTCATATTGTTCCATTTCGGTCTTCCCCAACTGTATTTGGCTCCTAACCGTTCCAAGCAGGAAATCTTGTTCTTTGTTAACACCAAAAATTTCTGCTAGGGACTGAGGTTTTCCAAGTCTCACAGATGACTTCCTTGCTCTGCGTCAGGCCTCCTCAGTGGGTAAGGGTCCTTCTTGCTTCGTGATAGATAACCAGGCTGTGCCCCTACTCTCGTGTCTCGCCTGACTCGTACAGATTATACAATCCTGCAGTAGCAG